AGTGTGTTGACTGTATTCTCTGTTGCCAGAATGTCACTGCCCTGGAGGGTCCGCAGTTCAAGAAACGGAAAGTGCAAGTAAGTGTAAATTTTTATTAATTGATTATATATATATATTATGCAACAGCTTAGGTTTTATTATTATTATGTATATTATATTATTAATGTGTATATTATATTATATATATTAAGAATATATACATTAATCAAATGGGTCAATGAAGGATTCTTTTTTGGTTATGTCCCACGCAAAATAATATTTGATTATCATAGAAAAGAAAAGTAAATAGTTTAGTACATTAATGATAATAGACTAAAAAATAATGATGAATGATAGAATAAGGATTAATAGTAGCAAAGTAAAGACCATTCCTGTTGCCATGACAGGTGAACAGAATGCAATGTTAAGAATGATGACAACAAACATGATGATGAGTTTGGTGTCTCCAATGAGAGTTCAACCGGTGCCATGATATTAATGATGAATGTTCTGATAGATGATAATCTTCACTGTAAACTCAGAGATATGAACAGAAGACTTCTATTAAAAACAAGTCTACATCAAAAGAGTGTGCCACTTTAGACAAATTGACCCATTCAGTTTTTTACATCATTTTTTGGCACCAGAAAGAGTCAGATTTTTTATATTTTTCCAAATGTTCAAAAATTTGCTTAGATGTCAATTACCATAATACTAAATTGTTTAATAAATTAATCCTTGACTCATGCATAAAGAATGGCACGTTTTAAATCATTTTCCTAATGCCTTATCTCATTTGCTTGCCTCAAATATTCAAGACATGTTTTGTTTGTATCTTTCTGCCACGTAACGTTTCACAATATCCATAGAAAGATGCTAAATTCCGGGAAAGAAATATGGTCCTGTTCTCCAACTTTATGGACATTTTCAATCTTTGTCTCATGTTTTATAATGGGAAAATTGAAGTCTCATCCCATTGTTCAGGTCCATTTTAAGAACATTTTTCCTAGACGCAGGAGTACATGAGACAAGAAATTGCTGCCTAACTTACTGAACCTAGGTGCAAAGGATAGATTTCCTTTACCTGTTTCTTCCTCCACCCTCCCAGGCAAGATCTGGTGCTGCAGGCTCCTCTGCGCACCACTCTGCTGTCATTCCAGCCTACCCTTCTGCAGGCACCCTGGCAGATCCTGCACCTTGCTCTTCTGCAGACACCCTGGCAGATCCTATACAGTACTCTTCAGCAGATTCTGTGGCAGACCCTACTATGAACCCTTCTGCAGAAGCCTCTTCAGACCCCTCAGCAGAACCCCCATCCCGACACATCCTCTCACTCCCCAATGAAGTCCTCTTGGCCATCTTCTCCTTCCTCGACATTACCAACCTGCCTTCGGTTCTTGGCGTCTGCTCGCGCTGGAGGGAAGTCATAACCGCAAGCCGAAGATGGCAGATGCTGGACTTCACAGCGGTGGAAGACTCTGGCCTTCATGTGAAAGTGGCCATGGCTGTGGGACACCAGGCCCGGAGGGTGCTGGGGGCGGCGCCCCTGGGCAAGGTGGTGGAGCAGGTGCTGAGGAATTGTCCAAATCTGGTGGAACTCAGCATGCCTGATGCTATCATTGGGGTGAAGATACTTAGGGATATCATTGCCATGTGTCCGATGATAGAAAGCATCGAGACATGTGTACGAGTGTTCTCTGATCGGCCTGCTGATATGCCTTCATTGATGCGTATCATAGGCAAAGTTAACATGGACTTCTCAGAAGATGCTAATTATTGTAGCGCTGGAAGCATTTTTAACAATGTGCAGAGTTTCCAGGATATTTTGATGTTATTGCATTATGAATCTGGAATATGCCATGAAGATTACCTCTTACTTAATGCATTATTAGATCATCCAAAAGCAATATTTTGCATTTTAAAAGAATGTACTGGCAGATTTAGTTCGTTGTCACTGGCGGCTATCATTGAGCCTCATTTATTTCCCCTAGCAACCTTATGGAAAGCCGTATGTAACATCAACGATTTCATAGGAGTTTTCCGTTATGTCCTTCCAAGTGAGGAGTTTGTACAAATGCAAGCAATGACCGNTTCCTGATCGTCCCACTGCTGAGCTCACAGTGTCTGACCTTTGGTCTCAGTTGTGGGGTTAAGTTATTATGTCTAGTTGGATAACATATTAAGTTGATATGTAGGTAGGATTCCTTACAATAAGTTATTGTGTAGGTAAGATTCCTTACAATAAGTTATTATGTAGGTAGGATTCCTTACATTTCTCTTCTCTGTCTCTCATGCGGGTGGCTGACGTCCCGTGTAAGCAACCTCTTGTTTGAGTGTCTTAGTTTCTGATGCTTTTCACCTGTCCCTCCTTGTCACTTTATCTTTTTGAGATGCTTATGCCTCCCGCCCTTGTGGGTGATGAACAATTTGTGACTCTAAATAATTGAGACCTTCCACCTTGCTGGCAATGTTAACTTTTCACCTCCGGTGTGAAATAGCTTGATAGCTGAAGCACTAGTAAATCATTCTACTACTTGCTTACTTCCTGGAGTAGTTTCTAACAACTCAGATTTTACTCACCCAGATGCCACATGGCAGGCCCTGGATAGGATTACCTCTTGCTATTACTATTGTCTGATATTTTATTATGATATATTTTCAAATCTTTTGTGAAACAAGATAATAGTATGCATATATATCATTGCAATAGCAATACATCACAACACCATGAGGGTTACAAACTGAATCAATCTTTCTTATTATTTGATTCTACCCCAGTTTCTGTTTCTGTGTTCATAAGTTAAACAAGGAAATGTCACCAAGCAAATGAATTGGCTATGATCTTGCATCTTGTTATAGTGTTGCATTTGGGGAAAGTCTAGATTATTATTTGACAAACATTGTTGATATTTTTGAATTATGAAATTCTATTTTACTTTAACATAACCATCAGATGTATGTGCAGGCTAACTAGGTACATTTACAATTGTAGGGAACATGCCATATTTTGAAATTCATGACAAAATGAAATGAAAATTTTTGAGATGTTCACTACAATATCATCCTCTCCAGACTGTCATTAATTGTGGGATTGTGATGTCATCTGCTCCGGACTGGTCACTGTGATTTGTTGTGGGACTGTGATGTCCTTCTCTCCAGACTGGTCACTGTGATTTGTTGTGGGACTGTGATGTCATCCTCTCCAGACTGGTCACTGTGATTTGTTGTGGGACTGTGAAGTCCTCCTCTCCAGACTGGTCACTGTGATTTGTTGTGGGACTGTGATGTCATCCTCTCCAGACTGGTCACTGTGATTGGTTGTGGGATTGTGAGGTCTTCCTCTCCAGACTGGTCACTGTGATTGGTTGTGGGATTGTGATGTCATCC